AAATTTGTAAAAGCTTATTTTATATACAGACTGTTTTTTTTTGTTTTTTTTTTTGTTATTAAAATGACCTCCTTGCTATGCTGCTCTTTATTTGAATATTAATAGTATTTTTTAACTGTTAAAACATTCTAACTGCTATATATATTTGTAGAGTACAACTAGTTATATCTGCACCTTTTGGGTGCTTATTTAAGTATCTATCTATCACTAAATTCTATACTAGATGCTGTACCTGCACTTCACTAAGGGAGATATCTATTTAAACCCTCTGTGGCTATATACTAACTCTTTTATATCCAAGTAATAATACTTAGTACCACCTTATTTTCACATATTGGCTTAGGGCTTTAAAGCAGTCTTAACCATTTTAAAGAGTCCTTTGACCTCAAGGTAAACTTGCTAGAGCCTTTTATATCCATATTTAGTTTGAGCTAGGCTTTGGTAACTTATGCCTAGTCTGAGAACAAGTACTTGTAGTTTTTTATTTCTACTATCATTACCTATTTCTGTCTTTATAGAGTTTATTTATACCCCAGCTCTGATACTTATCCAATTAGAAACCCTTTCACTGTTTTATCAAATTCTCAATCCATGTTATTCATTTTTCTACTGGCTTAACCCAGATACCAGCCTATGCTCTTTTTCTCTAGTTGATTCCAGCAGCTTGGTAGTATTACAAATCGAAAGTTGAAAAATCAATTAGTTGGTTAGTTGACAACTAATCAATTGAACTTTTTAGATACCAACTAATCAATTAATCAATTAATTGACTAATCAATTAGTTGCAACTAATCGACTAAAGAATTGCAAATGAATCAATTGAAAAAAATTTATTTATTTAGTTAATAAATTAGTTGCAACCAACTAAAAAATAATTAACCAACTAATCAATTAGAAAAATTTTGTCAATTTATAACACTATGGCCTAGTTGATATGGTGCTCATCAAACACCCAGTCCTCATTCAGATCTGCAGCTTTTTGGTCTTTTCTTAGACTTTAAAAACTATCGAAAGTATGCACTACTTCTCTACTCAGGAATTGTCAAGTGAGTTTTTATTTAGAACTAGTCCTACAAATTTACATGGATTACAGGAACTTATTGTGAGTTTATACCACCTTTTATCAGTTTGTATCCCTTCATATAACTTCTTTATTACATAGATGCACTATGATCTTCCAAGTCTGTACTATCATCTCTGATAGGGCTCGCAAAATAAGCTATCTGTTAGATGATCATTACTCTTTGCACCTATTTGGTCTGACTATCATTACAGAATTTACATCTCAACACCCGAATAGTTATCATTATACTGAAGAATTTGATTTTCGTCATTAGTGCAAATTAAACTTTGGATATACCACTTGGGGTAACAACTGTATAATTGATTTGTAATTCTAATTATTAAACAAATTATATATAATTAAATAGATTTAGAATAGAGTATAATGACTTAGTGAAGTGATGAAGTTGTCACATTCCTAAGTGGTTGAGTATAAGTTCAATTTCTATAGAAGGTGAAAATTAGATTTTAGAAAAACAGATTTAGCAACTATCGTTGTGACCAGAAAAATTTAAGACCCTGTAATTAGAGATGTCACAGGATAACCTTTAGACAAAGTTTGAACATCTTAAATATTTTTAAATATTAAAATTGCTCAAAATTTTATTAAGACAACCTATTTCAACTTTCTAAGTAAAAATATTTAAAATTAAATAAAATATATAATTATGTTTTTTTAAAATAAATATTTTAATTATTAAAGCTTAGATGAGCTTTGGATACTTGGACATTTAGACATTAAACCTGCCAAAAAAGGCTTTGAACATCAAAAACATATATCCCTGCCTGTAACTGTAGTTGTACTAAGATAAAAATTGAAAGGTTCTGATGCATTTGTATAATAAAGGAGGAATCTCTTTTAGTATATATGTGTATATATAAATTATTACAAAATTATAATATATGAATCTAACTAATTTGAGCTAATTTAAACTTAACCTTAACTATGACCCTAATAATTTATTAAATTACTTAAATTAGTTTAAAATAGTTAAGTTATATATATTATAATTATATAATAATTATATATGCCCACCTATATTAAAGATTAATCTAAAGAAGTTATATAAAAGCATGCAAGCCAGTTTAGTTAGTGCAAATCTAAGATAAGTCTTTTAGAATCGCAAAAAGCCACAAGGCCTATATGGCAGTAGGATGCTTGCTTATAAAGTTCTATATAGAGAAGTAGCACAGATCGTTGATTGTATTACATATAGATTAATACTTGGAGAACTGGTAAAACTAAACAAAACTGAAGTATTTGGCAAGACACTTCACCAACCAGGTTGCTAAAGAGATAAATAAAGAAAAAGAACCTAATTGTGGAGACTAGAAGCAGGTTATAGCTCTTCTGAGCTATCTGAATTGGTAGTTTGAAGTAACTGTGAATACTAGTAATAATTTGTAAGTGCATTAGAGTTTGTGTGAACTCTATAAGGGCAGAAGTAGGTTGTATAGCAGAGATCAGTCCATAGTTAGTTAAAATATTATATAAAAATTAGTAAGAACAAACAGCCAAAGAACACTTCCACTATAAAAACTGGGCCACAAGTAGTGGACCTTGACCTGTACTTTTAACTGAAGTCTAAATCAACTAGATTATGAATATAGAAGGCTCTAGCAGGTTTATTTCAAAGATAAAGGTTCAATAGGAACCTGCTTTAAAGTCCTAAGTCAGTTGTTTAAAAATAAGAAATACTATGTATTCTTACTTGATTAGATGATTAATATATATAGCAATGTGTATATGGTTTGGTATACTATACTGTAAAAGTTAACAATAATCAAATAAAAGGAGATGACCAAAAAGTTACCTTAAAACCAAAAAAAAATAAAATAGGTTTAGAGTAATTTGATTAAAAGAATTTTAAAAACCAGAAAAAAATTTTTAACAAAAATTTTACAAGAATATTTTTAATAATTTTATTATAAAATATTATGAATAATACTAAAATTTAAATAATTGTAAAATTAATATACAATTAACACATTTGATTGGTTAGGGTTAGAGTAATTAGCCAATAGGATTTTTAGATTTTATGATCATCTAAATTTTATAATTATTCACAATATAAAATAATTAGTTTATAACTGATGCTAAAAACAACTGAAGCTGAAATTTGATATCTTAATTTAAAAATATAAGCTCTGCTAAAATCCACATATACTTGTTAATTATCAAGCCTAACTCTAAACACTAAATCAACTATAAAAAAAAGTAGGAAAAACACCTCAAAAAATTTTAGAAAATTTATATCAAAATAGATCTAAATTTTAACATTAGCCATTTTCAGCATTAGCTATGACAATTAGTTTATTTCTATTTGAAATATATTGTATATTATTACAGAGCTAGAACAAAACTCTATTTTTTGTATAATTAAGTAAAAATAGTTAATAAAATATAAAGGTATAGTAGAAAGAAAAATTTATCTATTTTGTATTTATATCTTTGTATTAGTATATATTAAAGATATAAAAAAAAATATTTAAGTATAAACTTGTATAAAAAATAAGTTTATTTAGTATAAAGTGCCAATTTATTTAATAAATTAATGAGAAAAACAAGTTTTTTAGAGAGAATTTTAGTACAAATAATTATTAAAAAAAATTAAAAATTTGCATTATCAGATAATATTATTTATAAATTAAATAAGAAAACTTATATTTATAACATTATATTATATAACATCTTATACAAGAGATGTATATTTTTGATGTCCAAAGCCTTTTTTAGCATGTTCAACATCCAAACGTCCAAGTGTCCAAAGCTTATCTAAGCTTTAATAATCAAAATATTTATTTTAAAAAAACATGATTATATATTTTATTTAATTTTAAACATTTTTACTTAGAAAGTTGAAATAGGTTGTCTTAATAAAATTTTGAGCAATTTTAATATTTAAAAATGTTCAAAATGTTCAAACTTTGTCCAAAGGCTGTCCTGTGACATCCCTGCCTTATACTATAACTCAAAAATGTGCTAAGTAAATAGATGTAAATACTCTAAGTAAAAATGTTTAGCACCTTTGAAAACCTTATATTTAATATATATTGTATAATAAAAAACTCTTATAAAACGCTTATTTTATTACTAAATCTAATTAAAACTATATAGATGTTATATAACATGGGTGTTATAAATATAATATTTTATTAAATAATATTTATATAACTTGATATATATTATTTTAATAGAAGCTATTAATATTAGTAAAGCTACTTAAGTAAAAAAAATAATTAATAAAATTTTTGTAAATTTTAATTTTAAACTTTTATTCTAACTCTAATATTAACCAAATTTTAATTTTTAATTTGATAAAAATTGGGTTAATTTACTATATATATAGATTACACAGATTTTTTATAACTGATATTAAAAATTATAAATATAATTCTTTGAAATTAAATATCTCGTTATTTTTTTAACGAATTTTTGTTTAAATTTTTTTATTTGCAAGTCTTTTTATTATTTATTTTTGATTTAAATATATTTATTTTTTTAATTTTTATGTTAAAATATTTTTTAACTATTTAATACATTAAATAATTGGTTAATATTACTACTATTTAAATTTATATTTTTACTCAATAAATTTAGTAAAACATTACGTGTTTGATAATACCCAACGTACAATTAAAACAAGTTATACAGTATGTTTGGCTTTTATAATTAGCAAGTTTTTCTAGCAAATAAAATTTAACCGATCAAATTAAGCAAACAAAAAATATCAAATTTAAAATAGGCAAAATCAGGTGCTTTAGTTTTTAGGTCGTGTAATGTAATATACTATTGCCGCAGTTTTTGTTTAAGTCATTATAAAAAATTAAATAAACCAATGATAATTTATTAACGCATTATGCGGATGAATTCGTTTCAGAAATTGACATATTATTTACGTACGTACGTATCGGTTATTGATTTTGAAGTACAACAAATGCACAAAGGTGAGCAAAAAGATCTGCAAATAAAAGTTTTTGAAGCCAAGTTTCGGCCATGCATAGGTGACTTCACTTTGACGTACTGTAATAGGTAATAAAATTTCAAGGGTGTGGGCAATCTAAACATAGTTTACATACTCAATGACCGAAATGCAATATAGTGCAAAATGCCGTATCGCAAAACTTAAAAAAAACTCTAAATATTTAAAAACTTTTTGCCGAACTTGAATTAGTTTGTAATTATAAAGATTAAAGTTAGTTTCTTTTTCTTATTGTAAATATTACCTTATAAATCTTGAACATCAATTCTATTATCATTGAGCACACAACGAGAAATTTGAATTGGGCGTTTTTTTTTTTCTAATATAGTACGTACGTACGCACGTACGTACGTACGTACGTAGGTAGGTAGGTACCAATACGCACAATCAATTGTTATGCACTTACACCAAATTTATCGATATGTCAAACCCGAGCATAAAATGTTAAATATGGTATTATATTTCCTAATTAATTAATCACATGAGTGCAATTTTTTGATAAAGTTTCATTACACGTTTCTTTGTTAAAATATTTTAGATGGATAAATAAACATTCACAATGGAAGTTAATTACCTAAGATTCGATACTTCCATTATAAAGCGCCTCGGTTTATGAAATTCACTTCAAAGCCCTATTTAGTATAGATAAGTGTATTAATAAAGTTTTATAGTAATAGCATAAAATTTTTATAGCATATATACATAAAAAAAATTAGAATTTTTTTTCCCAATGAATAATTAAATGAAACTTTATGCAATATTCAGTAAAAGCAGCTTATGAATTAACGTTAATAACCAACTTAACTTATAAATTTCGCATTTATGGATATAAAATATTTATTTATACAGGATATTTATTTAGATAGCATTTATTTAGATAGTATTTGTTTAGACAATTTTCACTGTTACGTATTTGCTTAATATATACTTTTAAATGAACTTTTTATTTGTGTATGAGAAAAAACTAAGATATTAATACTTGAATAGTATATTCTAGATATAAATGTTTTCGAGATCTGATAATTATAAATTATATAGCTTTTAATACCATACTAAATCAAAGACTTGTCTTGATTGTCAAAATGATGACTATATGGATTTTAATCAAAGCGATAATATATATGGTTAATCCAGACCAAAAAATGTTATTACGTCATATATAAAAGTGGTCCGATTTCAAAAATAATTACTCATATTCATAGCAAAATATATAGTAAATGATGTAATGGGTTTGTTTGTATGCAAAGCCTTGGTCAAAGTCCCTAAATCTCGTAAATTTATTGGATCTCCATCTTTCGATAATTAATTTTATGCGTGCATATAAAACAATGCATAAGTGGAGTAACAGTCGGTGTCTGTAAGTAAACGCCTCTTAAAATCAATTGTTTTTGACAAAACTGTGTGGATTATCGTCATATGTACAGTATGCAATATATTTTTGATATTTTGAACTGTTGATAAACAATACACAGAAATAGTAGAACAAATACAGTTGTCTCATCTTTCATTTGCATAAGTGAAAACTCTAACATGTTATTAATGTGTATATATAAGCAATCCGGTTTTTGCAATCTCTCACTTTCCAATTTTCAAATAAGAAAAAAAACTTTACACTTCTCAAATTTTGAATAAAAAAAAAACAACTTGAAACATTACAAAAAAAAAAAAAAACTTTTTTCCTTGCCATTTCTTTCTGAGAAGTTATCTATATAAAAGTGACTAATTTTACCAAAAAAATAAAAATGTGTCGCTACGTTATAAATAATAAACATTCAGGAACAGTTACTCTTGCTTCATTTCCTGATGATATTCTATACATCATCGGCAAAGATTTGGACTTTCTTTCAATTCTAGCACTTCGCTCAACGTGCAGGATGATTTATCTATCATTCTCCAATGAGGTTACATTTTCTCACGTGTCCATTCCATCAATTTCACATGATCAATTCGTCAAAATATTTTCTCATCTTAAATCAACCAATAAACTCTCATTTATTCGTAAATTCACATTTAACGATCCACAAATCAAGGCCGAAGACGTAATTTCCATATTAGAAAATTGTGAAAATCTTCAATATTTATATATTTTAGGTTGTAAAGAAGTTAAATTATTACCAATAACGACTGCCATGAAAAATTGGTACCAAGAAGCTGAGGTTTGTGAAAAAAAGAGAAAATTACAAAAATTAAAAAAAATAGTGATGACGAGATGTATTGGTGGGAAAAGGCATTCATTATTGATAAAAAAAGTTTTAGAGGATATACAACTTTTAAAATATCACCAGCAACAACACGAAGAATTCTGTAATGTTAAACGATATATGAGAAGCATCAATCTGTGCCATGAAAATCAAAATAACGCGTACTATGTGTCGCAAAACGTCAACATAAATCCAGTAACTTGTAGTAAAAAAGATGATACGAACGATGGAATATTTCAGTTTCGGTCATGCTCTGATCCTTCATGTGAGCCTTGTACTTTGAAATGTGCTGGTTGTGGCACAAAATATAAATATTGGGACGAGTTTTGGATAAAATGTGGTTGGTGTAAAGAAAGACATTTTTGTGGCAATTGTGTAATGGATGCCTCAAGAAGAAATGTTTTCAGAACTTATACATTTCAATTTATGACGATAAAACTGTGTCAATTATTTGATTTACCTTGTCCATAATAGATCTTTAAAGATATCTTTTAGTCCATGCACTTCAATCTTTATTCTTTTTTTTTTTAAAAAAAACAATCTTATTTTTTCTAAACCAATCTGTATATATTTTTTTCCTGATTTATAAAATTATCTTGATCCGCAATTCCTTGTAACCTTTCAAATAATCGTTTTTGATGTTGAATACATTAGTCAATATAATCATAGAATTTCTTAAAGAGCCATGTTACCATCAAAATTATTAATAAAAATGGTTGCTTTTAAACTAATATAATATCAAAGCTAATTATCCTAAATCGTTCACTCTTGGGGTAGCGCATTTGAAGGGAGATTGTATTTAGAGAAAATAGTTTGTGAGTTATATATTATTTCATGATATTACCAATTCATATTTTATATTAACGCGAGGTAATTTTACTATGGTTCACTGGGTGTTCGGTCAACTATATAATCAAAATTACGTGTTGTACCATATGAAAATTAATTATGAATTTAGTGATCAGAATAGTGATTAAGACAGTGAGCAGATTCTTTATTACTTTTTATATATATTTTAATAGTAAAGAAAATTGCATATTTTTAGATGTCTAGAGAAATCGCTTTACTTTTTTCAATTACTTCAGCATAAATCTATTGTTAAACACGATTATAACAAAGTTAACATTTAAATTTCTAGTTGACTTTTTACAAAATTTCTGTTTCATATCGTGTCTATTCAAAGGAAAGATGAGATATTTTCATTGCAGGTAAAAATTTAATACTAAAACATTAATTTTTTAACGTGACATTTAGTGTTGTTAGGCAAAACTTAGAGGTTTTGCCACTGGCAAAAGTCGAAACTAGTTTTGACTTTTGCCAAAAAAAAAAATTAAAATGGCAACATGGCAAAACTGGCAAAACTGGCAAAACTAGCAAAACTAGCAACACTGACAAAACTTCAAAAAGTAATGATAATAAAATTAGTAAAAAATAAAAAAAAACTAGTAAAAAAACAAAAATAGTAAAGTAATTAAAATTTTAAAATCTTTTTATCTAATTATCAATCCTTTATATTTTTAAATAAATTTTTAAGGATATTCTATAGAATAGGTGGGCAATATATGAAATAAGCTTCACTAATAATTTTTAATAGCAGATTTGTAGAGTTTGCCTGCATATTCTATAAAATATTAATCTATACTATATATAATAGTCTAAAAAAGTAAGATAGATAAAATTTTTATATAATTATATCTTTATTTTAAAAATTTTATATTTATAAAGAATTATATTTATATAAAAATTAAATTTTATATTATTTATTGAAATTGCTTCTAAAAATCTATATAATTATAAATAAATATAATTATAAAAAATCTTTATAAAAAAAATTATAAAATTAATATTTA